AACATAAGTAGATGAACAAAAAACTATTAAGTGCTGTGTAGAATAGGAGAGAATTAACTCAGGGTGACTTAAATTAGGGAGGAGGGTCTGGAAAAGTATCTGAAACAGAGCGAACAGGCAGTGCTGTTCATTTGAAATGTGCTGTGCCTTCAAAGAATCAGAGGAAGGGATGGACATGGCCCTTTGAAGGAATGAGAGGACCACTGTGGTGAGAGGGCCGTGAGAGGGAAGCAGGCACAGTCAGCTGCAGTAGTGATGCGCTCTGTGGTCTTCCCCAGCCTGAAAGGTATTTCTGCACTCAAAGTCAGACCATAGCACTGCCCATCTTCAATGCTGTCTCCCTGTTACTGATGGGATAATGTCCAACTTCTGTGTGTTGAGACTCAGAGCCTCAGTGCTGAATGCGATGCCTTTCTAGCCCTGTGCCCTGAAACAGTCACACACTCAAGCTGGGCGTCCTTTACACATGCCTCCTTTCCATTGGACAGGCTCCTTCTGTGTGTGATGATCATCGTTTCACCCTCTGAAGTTTTGTATTGTAGGAGGAGACAAGACATTGCTTTGTTATTTCATGGGCAACTCTATTGTAATCTTGGGCTGCTTTTTACACTCTCCATCCTGTGAACTCTTGAGAATCTTAGAGTCTGGACCTTGTATTGTGGTCATCATGGTACCTGATACAGAGCTGGCTTCAAAACATGTTTACTGAGAGAAGGAGGGAGGGAGGAAGGGAGGGAGGGAAAGAGGGAAGGAGGGAAGAAAGGAAGTTTTGTCCAAATGCACTAATGGAATACACAACATTCAGATTCCATCTAAGGTTCAGTTTCTTTTTTAAATTAAATTAAAAAAAACATTTATTGACTGACTTTTACATATGATATATTAGCCCAATTAATTGTAAATGATGCTTAATTATCAGAGAAATTCTTAGCAAAAAATGAAACATGACATAATGGAAGAGACACTAGCTCTCTACTTGCAGCTTTAAGACTTTGAGGTATAGAGCCCCAAATTTCACTTCTTGAGTACACACTACAGCCAGCATCTAGTGGAAAATGGAGAAATGCCCACCCTACAAACGAGAACAAGGTTTCTTTTTAAGACTTGAATCAGTAAAAACTGGATCACCCATCTGTGGGAGGTAATTGTGGACTGAAATACCCCAACCTATTATCTAGGTGACCAACCTGTAATCTCAACAAAGGGGAAGAAGGCATAAACAATATATAATGCCAAGAGGAGACAACTGACATGGAGGTGATGATGAACAGATATGATAAATATTTTCATCACGACAAAGGAAAATTCTCTAAGTCAGCGGTTCTCAACCTGTGGGTCGCGACCCCTTTGGCGGTCGAACGACCTTTTCACAGGGGTCGCCTAAGACCATCCTGCATATCAGATATTTACATTACGATTCATAACAGTAGTAACATTACAGTTATGAAGTAGCAACGAAAATAATTTTATGGTTGGGTCACAACATGAGGAACTGTATTTAAAGGGCCAGAAGGTTGAGAACCACTGCTCTAAGTGAACACACTGGCTGTGTGGTTTATACATTGGCGCCTTACGAGTTTGAAAAGTGAAAGTTAGTGCATTTGTACAGTGGAAAGATGAATACATGACCAGGAGGTTGAAGAACAGTCTCTGAACTGTGGTCATTTCACCACGGTTGTCGTGCTGTGCGACCTTGCCTGGCTGCCAGCGGGCCTGCCCCAATCAGATCTCACTGCAGCCACACACCCCACATTAAAACAAATGTTTTAGGCCAATGTCAGCACAGGGAGTCCTTTCATCAGGATGACAACACAAGGCCAAGTGCATTCCATTCACGACCAGACATGGACTCAGAATGAAATGTAACTGACATAGCCCGGCTCCTAAGTGACCTTCAGATGCCAGTGTCAGTCAAATGACTCTAAAGAAAAATTAAGCTCAGGTTATAGTGCCGTATTCATCTGGAGTGCATTACTAAATGAAGACATGAAATGGAGCTTAGGAGCCAACTCTGTGGTGGATTTCAGAGGTGCCTGGAGCAGGAGGAAAGGAAAATGGCGCCCACGCGTCCCAGAAGTATGCAATGCTACAAATGACGTTTCTAATGTTCAAATGTTAGTTCACTTATGCTTCTCATAAGCATATTCTTGTCCAGAGTAGAATATTGGAAAGGTCTCTTTACATGACTCACAATGGGCATTCAATCCACAAGGCTTATGGTCCTGAGTTGGTGACTGGACTACCACGTGGCTAGCGTGAATCTTACCCACATGGCAATCTGCTGTCCTACAGCAGGACATGCTGAGAAAGAACTGAATACAGTCTAAGGTGCTATTGCCAGTGTGAAAGCTCATATCCATAGTGCTCTGCACCCTGGTGGTGAAACCACGCATGCTTGGTTTCACCAGGCTTCTGAAGAATGCTGTTGTTTAGGACAAGACTTTGCCACTGAACATGGAAGGACCGTTTTCTAATTTCAATGACCATAAAAAATGTTAGGATCCTGGACATAAGACTACACACTTCCCTGCTGATAGTTTTCTGTTTTGTTTTATTTTTTCATTTTTCCTTTGTCCTAGCATCATAATTTCCTGGTATGAATTTACCCAAAACTCAGTTCTTCTAGAAGACCTAATACCTAAAGTTACTAAAGAATTCCTTTCTAATTCTGATGGCTGACATTTTTTAAGCCATCCTCCACCTCTAATTCAAATCAATTACTGCAACATCTTTGCATGTTTAATATTCATAGTTATGCATTTAGTTCTACTCTTAAGCTTAAATACTGAAAATAGACAGCTTATTTGAATATATTTTTATTGATTTTAGAGAGGAAGGAAGAGGGAGAGAGAGAGAGAAACATCAGTGATGAGAGAATCATTGATTGGCTGCCTCCTGCATGCCCCACACTGGGGATTGAGCCCGCAACCCAGGCATGTGCCCTGACTGGGAATCAAACCCTGACCACCTGGTTCATAGGTCGACGCTCAACTACTGAGCCATACTGGCTGGACCTAGACAGCTTATTTGAATACTCTGAAAACTTTTTAGTTTTATGTGGAATTTTTAATGTTTGCAATAAAGCAAAATGTTAAGACCTTAACAAAGCTCCTTTGAGTGGAATAGTAGTGTGTGAAAGTATCATAAGCATTTTTTAGTTCAAGACCTATGAGAGTCTTCTGCTGGCTACCAAAGCAAAATAACTTTGAGGCAACACAGACTGAAACCTGGGTAGTGTGGTTTGAGAGTGTCTCCACTGTTAAACTCATGCTAAATTCTACTGAAAGTATCTACAAGAGACTGTATTACTACTCAGAAAATACTGTCAGTGACATGTTAAAATAACGATTTAAAGGGTCTCAGGTTTGATTCCTGGCCCTGGTTGGGCACCTGTGGGAAACAACCAAGTCTCTCTCTTTCTCACTGATCTCTCTCTCTCTCTCTCTCTCTCTCTCTCTCTCTCTCTCTCTCTCTTTCTCCTCTCTGTCTCTTCTTTCCCTCTCCCTCTCCATCCCTCCTTTCCACTCTCTACAAAGCAATGGAAAAAATATCCTTGGGTGAGGATTAACAACAGCAACAGCAACAATAACAACAACAAAAAGATTTACATTTAATTGATTACTGAGAAAGGGGAGTATTGTTTTAATGCAAGACGAAGATTTCAAAAAGCAAAATCGCTTTTGGTCAACTTTTCTACTAAGAACAATATTTACAGTTAAAATTTCCTCTTTAAATGTCTCATTTCAAACTGAGCCAAAGACAACCAAATTGAAATAGTGTCATTTGAAAAAAAGAAGGGATTAAGAAACAATAACAGAACAAGTAGATGAATCAAAGAGTTTCAAGGTCCTTGAGAATATTATCTTAAGCAAAATAAGTCAGAAAAAGCTAAGAACCATATGATTTCACTCATATGTGGGATATAAAACTGAAACTCAGACACAGACAACAGTATGGTGGTTAACATAGGGAAGGGGAGGGCATGGTAAAGGGTGAAGGGAACCAAATATATGGTGACGGAAGATTATTTGACTTTGGGTGGTGGAAACACAATGCAATATACAGATTGTGTATCATAGGAATGTACACTTGAAAACTATATGGCCCTATTAACTAATGTCACCCCAATACCTTTTATTAAAAAAAAGAAAGACAAAGAAAGAAAAATAGAAAAAGTGTTTCTCCAGAATAGTGTCCCAAGTAATGAAGAAATGATGGAATTTGTATATTATTATTTTGAAAACTTCTAATAAAATAATGAATCTAGGTAAAGATCATTAGTGCTCACTAACATCATAAAGAGATGACCAGATATGATGTACTTCTTGACAGAATATTCAATAGTATATATAACGTATTTTCCCCCCACTCAGGTTAAGTCTCTAGAGCAAACTGACAGTTTACAGGAACCACAGGGGACAGAAGAACATAATAAAAACATGGTAATACAATCAGCAAATCTTGTGGGAAACTCCACAGGACAAAGTGACATGGTTTCAGCAAAATATTAATTACAAAAGGCAAAAAAAAGATGGATGGTAGAAACTTTTAGATTAAAAGAAACGTGAGAAACACATCAAAGGCAATGCATAAAATTTGTTTGGATCCTCAATCAAACTAACTATAAACAAAAGGATGAATCAGTGAGTATACAGACAATCAGGGAAATTAGAACTACTACATATTTGATGATCTTGAGAAATCACTGTAAATGTTTTCAAGTACATGATAATGGCACTGGAGTTATGCTTGAAAAGTGTCCTTATCTTTTAGCCATGTACTAACATTTTTAACAGATGAATTATGTCTGAGTTTTGCTTCATAGTTGGTGGAGAAAGGGTGTTTCAGATGAAATAAGAGTAAACTGATTGTTTTGTAGTTGGGCAGTGGGCACATGGGATTCACTGTGGCATCCTAATTTTGTATATGTTTGAAATCTTTCACAATAAAATGGCTGAAAAAAATTAACGTTTTGAGAAAAAATGGTAGAGAAGACTTACCCTGCTGGATATCCTTCATTTCTAAATGCAAACTAGATATCAAGATTCCCACAGTTTGAGATCGTTTTCCATCCAATAACTTGATGATCTGGAATTTAAACATAAAATTAACACAAGCTCAAATGACCATGCAATCTTTCAGAAGTATATAAAAAATTAAGATTTTCAGATACTCTGATTGTTGAACTAAACTGACACTATAGTTACTCTATTTTGATAACCCTTTAATTTAAAAGTAACTTATCCACAACTAAAGATATTACAGAAAATAAAAAAATACACCACCCCAAATTCCACCAATCTAATACAAGCACACAAAATCTTTATAATATTGGTATATCTAAACAATGAGATATTATTCAAACATAAAGTGATGATTCATGCCACAACATGGATGAACTTGAAAATATCATGCTAAAGGAAAGAAACCAGTCACAAAGGCGATATTATATGATTTCCACTTATGTGAAATGTCCAGAATAGGCAAATGTATAATAGAGACACAAAATAGATTAGTGATTGCCTAGGGCTGGGCGTGTTGGGGGAAGTGGGGTCAACAGCTAAAGGGTTCAAGGTTCTTTTGAGGGTGATGAAAATGTTTTAAAATTTATTATGGTGATGGTTGCATATACCTGTGAATATACTAAAAACCACTGAATTGTACACTTTAAATAGATAAATTGCATGGTGTATGAATTATACCTTAATAAAGATGTTTTTAAAAAAGAGAAAAAATCTTTATACTATCGTTCTCTAATTTTTTATTCAAACACATTTTAACTAAGTTGTAACTGTAATATATTGAAATTACATATATAACTTTTTAACTTATCACTGGCATATTTTCATTTTGCTACTTTTTTAAAAGAATGGTTTATTTATTTATTTATTTATTTATTTTTGAGAGAGGAAGGGGAATGGAAAGAGAGAGAGAGAAACATTGATGTGAGAGTGCAACATTGATTGGCTGCTTCCTGCATATCCCCTACTGGAGATTGAGCCCACAACTTTGGGCATGTGCCTTTGACTAGGAATCCAACCAGCAACCTCCTGGTACACAGAAGGATGCCCAACCAACTGATCCACACTGGGCTTCATGTTGCTACTTTTTAAGTCTCTTCATAGTCTCCATTCTTGGCTGTGTCATCTGCTCAGTGGTTTAGGGTAAAGATCACTGTGATCTTGACTCAGTAGTTTATCAGTGATATGACCTCAGAAAAATGACTTAACTACTAGGTATTAAACTTCTTCATCATGAAGCAGTGCTGACCAACTTAACTTGTACATTTATTCTAGAAATTAAATGACAATGTGTGTAAAGCCCCTAATAAAGTTCTTGACATAGATTATTTAAATAAATTTTCCCTGTTTTGGAGAGTTAGATTGCTTCATATTTGTATTATTATTAATATAAGCAAGATAATACTTTGCACATAAAGCTTTAATTTTAAATTATTTAAATTTGTTCCTTTATAAGAACACTAGAGGCCTGATGCACGAAGATTGTGCAAGAATAGGCCTTCCTTCCCCTGGCTGCCGGCACCGGTTTCCCTCCGGCACCCAGGACCCGGGCCTTCGCTCTGGCCGCCACCTCCTGCCTTCACTCTGGGCCAGCTGCCGCCAACTTTGTTGTGAAGTGATGGTCAATTTGCATATTCTGTCTTTATTAGATAGGATATGCATACCAAAACTTTTACAATTTTTTAAAGAAACTCCAAATACCTCACTGCCAATTATTTCAACCTTTATGACTATTCCATAGAGCAGCGGTTCTCAACCTGTGGGTCGCGACCCCTTTGGCGGTCAAACGACCCTTTCACAGGGGTCGCCTAAGACCATCCTGCATATCAGATATTTACATTACAATTAATAATAGTAGCAAAATTACAGTTATGAAGTAGCAACGAAAATAATTTTATGGTTGGGTCACAACATGAGGAACTGTATTTAAAGGGCCAGAAGGTTGAGAACCACTGCCATAGAGAGTTCTTCATAGTTTTGTTTCCTCTAATCCTAGTAAGCCAAATAAGTTCCTAATAACATATCACACAGTGGTCACTAAAGGAAAAAGGTTATCTTTTTTTCATGGGGCATGGCTACAAAAATCAATACGACATGCACTCAAAACATCACCAAATCTTGTGGGGGTTTTTTTAAAGCACTTTCTTCGGTAAAATACAAACTAAACATCTATGCTTCCTCTCCCACCAAGGTACATATAAGCTTACCAAAATACAGTGAAGACAAGATTAAACAGTAACTAGCACCTGCTTGTATATTAGTACTCGACTAGCTGAGTTGTTTGCTGGTTGAACAATAAGAGATACCATGAGTTTGTTCCAACCAAGGTTGTCTAATTGTATAAAATGTCTAGTTACCTATCGATTGATCGAACCTGAATCGATTATTGCCAGACCTTTGTCTTTTCTTTCCTTATTGCCAGCCCTTTGCTTTTCTTTCTTTCTTTTTAAAAAATCTTTACTGTTGAAAGTATTAGCCCTTTGTTTTTCATTTCTCTGTTCAGAATGCCTACTTTTATATAACTATCAGAACTAAAATATAGTAAATACCAAGTTTTCATCAAGATAAAAAGAAAATCTGATTTTTCAGTCTAATGTGTTTAATAATTTCAACATTAGCCTTAGAGAAAGATTCTGGGGCATACAGAATTTCAAGAATTGTAAAATAAATAAAGAATAAACTTGGTATTATTTATTTATTTGCATATAAAAGCAAAAGCAGGGGAGGAAGAGATTATGTATAATCAAATATCTTCTTTAAATGTACAATGTCTGACTTTTTCTTAGAGAACACAATTTTATTTATTTATTTATTTTTTTAAATATATATATTTTATTGATTTTTACAGAGAGGAAGGGAGAGGGATAGAGAGTTATAAACATCGATGAGAGAGAAACATTGACCAGCTGCCTCCTGTACACCCCGCAACCAAGGTACATGCCTTTGACCGGAATCGAACCTGGGACCTTTCAGTCCGCAGGCTGACGCTCTATCCGCTGAGCCAAACCGGTTTTGGCGAGAACACAATTTTAAAGTGAAATGCTATTTAAAACTTCAGTACCGAATTTTAAAAATCCACATTAGTTTTAAGTAAATATTTAGCCACAAATTGTCATTCAGCAAACATCTGCTGTGGCACCACTCTAGACTCTGGGGGTGGGAAATGACAGGCTGTTCAAGTCTGTAGAGCTTAGTGATTTTTAAAACTTGCTGAAAAGAACCAAAAAGGCAAATAAAAACATCACCTGAGCTAATTGCAAATTCAAATTCAAAAGAAGAAAGGCTTTGGGAATTGACTAGATTTATTCTTAAATGTCTAGGATAGCGACTGATACAACCTTGGCCATGGCATATACATCAATGTCAAGGAGAAAGGTACGAGAATCAAATGTATAACAAGATCACAACTGGGTAGCAAAGATTCCTTCAAACAAACATTCCCCAAGCTATCCAGTTAGAGTTCTGAAAACCAGGGTAATGCAGTCTACCTACAGGGAAGATAAAGTTCAAATGCTAGTTTTTCTACTAGCTAATTAAAAGAAGGCAAGAGAGCAACCTCAAGAGAACTGAAAGAGAGATTGAGAGATTGAGATAATCTGTCATTAGGAAAACAAGCAAATCCATCCCCACCTCATTGCTCAATCAGGCTGAACTTTGGAAAGGGTGTCACCTCAGTCAGTTGTCCTTGCAATTTTGTCTAATGACTTGGCATGGCAGACGTTTAGAGAGAGAATGCTACCTTTAGCTGAACCAAAAAACCTTAAGCGTTTTCTGAAATAGGTGGCATCAATTTACACTCCTACCAAGTATACGAGAGTGACCATTTTCCTGTTCCCTCACCCACTGTGGGTATTATAAGTTTTAAAAATGTTGGCCAATATGATAGATAAAAATGTTTTTATCAATAATCTGCATTTTAAATTATTTAATGGTAAGGTTAAGCATTTGGTTGTTGGTTACATGTTCTTGTGAATTGTTTTTGTATACTTTTTGCTGTTTTCCTATTACTAAGTCTCTTAAGCTGGTACAGTGCAAAGAAATTTAAATAAGAACATAGCTCATATGATTTCACTCATACGTGGGCTATAAAACTGAGAATAACAAATGAATAAACAAGAAAAATAGACAAAAACTCATAGACACAGAAAATAGAATGGAGGTTACCAGAGGGAAGGGGGTGAAGGTAGTAATAGGTAAAGGGGGTACAATTTTGGGTGGTGAGCACACAATGCAATATACAGATTATGTATCATAGAAAAGTACATCTGAAGCCTATAATCCAGCGGTTCTCAACCTGTGGGTCACGACCCCTTTGGCGGTTGAACGACCCTTTCACAGGAGTCACCTAAGACCATCCTGCATATCAGATATTTACATTATGATTCATAACAGTAGCAACATTACAGTTATGAAGTAGCAACGAAAATAATTTTATGATTGGGTTACAACATGAAGAACTGTATTTAAAGGGCCAGAAGGTTGAGAACCACTGCTAATCTTATTAACAATGTCATCCCAATAAATGAAAAAAAGAAGAACATAGCTGAATTCATAAGAAGAAAGAGATATACACAGAGATTGTTGTGGATAAGGGGCGTCTTCTAAGGGAAGGAGAGGGGAGAGAACTACTTTGTACTGCACCCCTACTAAATGCTAGGTATTGTGCTCACAACTAATCCAAATGAGTAGTTGTGAATTGGGGGCAGTGAACACCACAATATTGTAAACTTTATTCCTTTAGTGTACCCCCCACCCCTGCCCCATGGATTTCTAAATAAATAACAACACTTCATGCTCAAGAGTCCTATAAAGTGAGTGTAGTCACCTTACCCCTAGGGCCTTAAAGCAAGGCTCATAGAAATAGAACACTGTTCTGCTAACCCAATACTGCTTTTTGATATGTGATCAAATCTCACAGTCCTTAGCCAGATATATACCTACTAGTAGCCTGGTGCACGAATTCGTGCACATTGAAAGGAAATTAATTAGAAGAAATATTTTAATATTGCTATTCGCCCTTTCTCTATAATAGAAGTGTCAACCAAATTCACGATCAACAATGACAGA